ATATGATAAGAGTTATTCATTTCTACAAGAGTATCAAAACTTTGTGAACATATATGGGTGTAGTGTTTTGATAATACCTAATAATTTCTTTCTAGTTTTTGGTGTTAACCAAAAATTATGTTCTCAATTAAACAAAATATTAAATAATAATATGTAAAGAATATTATGGAACAATTATTATCAATCCAAAAATAAATAAAAAAATATCATTTGAAGCACTTACTTAGAGGAGATTAAGAAGATTAAAAATTTTATGATTTAATTCAATTTAATTTGTTACCATAATCTTTTATTGTATTCATTGTATAAACAAGTCATATGTAACAATTTCAAATCATTTATAATATTAAAATGAAATGAAAAAGAGCGAAAAAGAGTAAAATTAAAGATTAAAATAAATTCAAAAAGTTGAAAGCACAGATTTAGAAACAAGAGTACGGACATAACTTGAATGGACTCATGATAGAATTGAATTGTCGCCAGCTGCAGCTCTATGATGAAGTTGAAAGCACAAATTTTGAAACAAGACACAACTTAAATGGCCCTAGGGAGTAGGGTCCAATCAATAATTGGACAAATTTCCTATACGATCTTTTTTTGTACTAACTAGTAGATACAAGACTCGCCAGCTTTAACTCTATACTACGAAGTTGAAAGTTTAATTTTTGAAACAAGACACAACTTAAATGGCCCTACGGGGTAGGGACCAATCAATACTCCGACAAATCTCGTATACGATCTTTTACATACTAGCTAGTAGATACATTGGAGCATGCACCCGGAAGACCCCATCATAGGTCTGTGAAGCGGAAGAATTTTCCCCTTTAAACATTTTGTTACTTGGAAGGACCTGGAAACCAATTTGTTACTAGTTCTTCCCTTCACATTTCTCATTCTCTTTTCTAGAATCTCTATACAGTTGTAGAATTAATTTTTTGGTTTTACTTATATATATTCCCCTTGTTCACCCTTTAATGAAGTGAGAGAAAATGTTTCTTTCCATTTCTTATTCCATGTATTATTTTTGTATGGCATCAGAGCTCATTTTTATATTTCCTCTATTTCTTCTCTGACAAATATAACGGCTAGTATTTGAATCTCTTCTCTGTTTCTTCCTTACCTTTATTTTTTCTTTGCTTTCATTGAAAGGAAACACCATGAACAACTTACCTACCTTTTCAAACGTACCTCGCCTAACTGAGGAGCTACCTTCAAGTCTATATTTCCTCCACCCAAATGAAAATCCAGCCTTCGTTCTTGTGTCCACATGTCTCACTGGACCCAACTACCATGGTTGGTACAGATCAAAGCATATGGCCTTGCTATCCAAAAACAAAATCAAATTCATCGATGGTTCTATCTCGATGCACGATCAAAACCATAATCTTTATCCTTATTGGGAGCGATGCAACACCATGGTGCTATCATGGTTGCTACATTTAGTTTTTGAATAAATAAGAAATAGTGTTCTCTAGCTAAACACTACAAAAGACATTTAGGATGATCTTGAAGAGCGTTATTCTTAGGGTGATGCATTCAAAATCTCTAATCTTTAGGAGGAGCTTTATTCCCTTCATCAACTCTCGTTAATAGTCTCCGAGTACTATAAGCACTTGAAGTTCCTTTGGGACGAGCTCACAAACCTCATACCAATCCCTAATTATGTTTATGAGCTGAAATGTTCATGTATTGCACTCATTGTCATCTAAAATTATAGATCCAACGATTACATGATCAAGTTTTTAAAAGGATTGAATGACAATTTTCCAACAGATCGAGTCTCAAATCATGCTTATTAGATCCATTGCCTCGCTTCGATAAGGTCTTCGCTATGGCCTCTCAATATGAGAGATAGTTTATGTCTAATGCTAGCTCTCTATTGCCCTCCATCGATAAGGTCTTCTTCCGATATTGCAGTTAAGGCCTTCTATGGCAAGGCTATTTCTAAGTTTCAAGTTAAATTTCAAAGCACATCTTAAGGTCTAAGAGGGTATAATGCAAGCTGGATTACGGAAGACATATCCAATTAATCGACCTATTTGCTCCTTCTATGGGAAAGAAGGACATGTTGTGGATAGGTGCTACAACAAGCATGGTTTCCCTCCGGCATGAGGAACAAGCCTAGACGGATAATGAACTTAGTTAATTATGTTGATATCGCTCTCGGTAGTAAAAATTTTGGAGATACCAATCAAGGAAGTAATTCCTCAAGTTTCCATTTTGTAAATACACGAATTCTCTCCCTATAAACATTCCTCTCACACGGGATCAATACTCTAAGCCGATGGCCCTTATTCAACTTAATTCTTGTCCTATAGTAACCTTTCATATCAGCACCATATCTTCTAATTTTTTCCCTATACTTGAGATGTCAAGTAATTATGTTTTTACATATTCCTTCTTAAGCGATATAAAGTTTTTTTAAAAACATACCTAGATTATCGATTCAAGAGCAATAGATCACATCATTTGTTCTCTTGACTATTTCACATCTTATAAACCCGTTAACAATATATTTGTTAAGCTCCTTACTAGATAGCTTACCTTTGTCTCCTATATTAGTAAGATTAAGTTTTCAACTGATTTTATTTTCTTTATTCTACTTTCTTTGTTCCCATTTTTTCTTTCAACCTTATACCTACTTAGTAAACTTTGGTCTACCTCTAACTATCGCATAATTTTAAAATCCGATTATTGCATCATTTAGGACTCGGCATATTGGAGGATGATTAGATTGGGTAAGGCTGCTCAATGGCCTCTATCAACTTGTTCATCCACGATTTCCCGAAGTGCGGCCCTCCTACTCTAGAATGTTTTTCCTCTATTGCATCCATTAATTCCGCAAAAGTAGTCCCTAAGAACATTTTATCACTTCCCATATTTAGTACGATAGACTAAGACATGTTTTTCCACCAAGAATAAAATTACCGCAAAACATAAATCCCTCGATTATCGTGAACCTTGATGTAATCCGTGATATATGTCACTTTACAAAACAAAATAAATTACCATTTCCTGTCGGCACTTCGTTATGAATGTATGTTTTGATCTCATTCATACTAATATTTAGGGTCCAATGCATGCTAACACGACTCAAGGTCATAAATATTTCTTAACCATTGTTGATGACTTTAGTAGAGCTAAATGGATCTTTCTCATGAAAGCCAAGTCCGAAGCTAGAATGTTACTTCAAATTTTTTGCATTTTTGTTCAAACACAATTCTCGATCACTATCAAATGCATCGGATCGGATCAAGGAAAAGAATTTGACATGCTTGGATTTCTATACAACTTATGGCATTATGCATCGGACCTCTTGTGCTCACACTTTATAACAAAATAGTGTGGTGGAAAGAAAACACCAACTCATTCCGAATGTAACTCGAGCCTTAAGGTTTCAAGCCCATCTTCCTCTCTCTTTATGGGGTGAGTGTGTTGTATATGCTATTTACCTAATAAATAGAATACCTCCCCCTGTCATCAATAACCATACCACTAGTATCTACTTATATCACAAAACACCTTCTAGGGAATCTAGATTTCTTTCTTGGCTTAGAAGTAGCCGACAGAATCGAGCATCAACCTATGCCAATGTAAATATCCTATGGAGTTACTTAGTGACACTTTGGATTTTTCGGTACAAACTTGCCAAAACACCAATACAACCGAAGACACCATTAACGAAAGATAACAATGAACTTCGGAAGTTATCACAAAACACCAATACAAGCTGCCCAAGAACTTCGGAAGATATCACCACTCGCCTCGACATCTCTTTTGTTGTTCAACAACTCTCCCGGTTTCTTGATCACACTACTCAATCACATTTGGATGCTGCACATCGAATTCTCAAGTACATCAAAGTTGTACCTAGACAAGGATTATTCTTTCCCTCCGGTTTGATCGCCTAACTGCAAGGATTCTCCGATTCCGATTAGGCAACTCGTCCTATAACCAAAAAAGTTGAGTGGCTTCTACATCTTTCTTGGCGATTGCACTAATCTCTTAGAAATCCAAGAAACAAACAATAGTCTCTCATTCCTCATCAAAATCTAAATACGGGGCCCTTGCAATTGCAACTCGTGAAATTCAATGGCTCTTTTACCTCTTATCAAATCTTCATGTCACTCAATCTCAAACGACTCTACTCTTTCGTGATAATCTTTCAACAATACATATAGCTGAAAATCTTGTGTTTCATGAATGAATGAAGCACATCAACATTGATTGTCACATTGTGCGTGAAAAGTTACAAGCGAGGAACTATTAAACTCTTGCATGTCTCATCTACCAATCAACTAGCAGATTGTTTCACTAAGTCCCTTAACACTCTTGCCTTCCATTCTCTCATCTCTAAGCTTAGGATCCATAACTTGTACACTACGGCTTGAGGGAGGCTATTGGAGCATGCACTTGGAAGACCTCATCATAAGTCCGCGAAGCGAAGAATTTTCCCCTTTAAACATTACGTTACTTGGAAGCACCTAGAAACCAATTTGTTACTAGTTCCTCCCTTCACGTTTCTCATTCTCTTTTCTAAATTCTCTATACGATTATAGAATTAGTTCTTTGGTTTTATTTGTATAGATATCCCTTATGCATCCTTTAATGAAGTGAAAGAAAATGTTTTTTTTTTCCATTTCTTATTACGTGTACTATTTTTGTTAAGATATTGTTGTCTATAGCTAATGATAGAGAAATGAATGCTACCGGAGGGTTTATAAATATACATGCAATGAGGTATCCGAAGTTTATACACGGAGACCAAATATGTATGATTTAAAAACAAAAATGTGTTAAGAGAAAAAAATCGATCTATTTTATTTATTTTTTTATAATATATCTATTATATGTATTTTTCCTTACCAAATTTTCATTGCATGCAAAGAGAAAGAAATTCGAAAAAGCTTATCCAAACTTAGAGATACAATTGTCCGTGAGGTTGAAAGTAAAGACATGGAGGTGGCAAATTCGATCTAATTAATGTCGAGGTGGAAAGTATGGGAATTGGCACCGGTGCTGTTATCAATTCTTGTGCAATTATCAAAGCATTAGTCGAGGATCCAAACATGCATGTGACCAAATTTGGTGAAAATCGAGTCACGAAGGCCAAGTCGCCAAGATCTTCGCTATTTTCCAAACATGCATGTGACCAAATTAAAGGAGAATATGTGGTGGCGGCTACGAACGATTCTTGTGAAGGAAACGGCGATTATGATTCCAACAAACCTGTCCCGTTATACAAGATTGAGATTTCATTTGATCATTCGACATTAGGGAATCATATCACAATGATTTTATCGGCACATAAGATTTTCTTTTGGCCAATTGGTAGTGTTTCGGGCTACGAACTTCCAATGTAATAAAATCCATAAAATCATCCAAATATTTATTATTTTAACATGGAAGAGTTCAATTTCGGACAATAGAGAATGAGTTTTTTTTTAAAAAAATAAAATAAAATAAAATAAAATATGATACGGAAAGTTATTTGTGGTTTAGTTATTTTAATTGTAATATTTATTTAATCGTAGAATTTCTATGAGTAGTCAATTATTTTAATTTGGCAAGTTATTTTATTAGAAAATCAATATATACACTCGAAACAAAAAAAGGATATAGAGGCAAAAAGGTTGACAAAACCGTCTCAAAGTCTTTCAACGACTTGCACTACAACGGGACTTTTATAGAATAAATTTGAAGCGATTTTGGTTTAAGGAGAGGCGCACAACTTTTATTTCATAATATATTATTATTATTATTATTATTTTAATTTGGTTCGAAATGAAGGGCATCGTTTCATTTTTCCTTATCTCCTTAGGGTTTTGCAACTTCTCTTCCTTTGCTTATTTGATTTGTTCTCTCTGCTTCTTAGATTCACGAGGGTTTTGCGGTTCATTTTTAATTTCTTCTCTCTCGCTTCTATCGGGATCCAAAAACGCATTGTGGTACCTTATTAATCAACTAAAATCATTCTCGAATCCTCTCTTTTCTTCTCTCGTCACCCTTTTCTTTCTCTTCTCCCTCTTCCGTTCCTTCTACTAACCCGTAACTCCTTCTTCTTCTTCGCCTCACTCACACCCATAGCTTATGCTTAACTAGCTGGTCCCTTACGACTTCTTCCATCTTTTGCTTCTTCTTTCTTTTTTCTTTTTTTTTAGGGTAAGAACACTACATTATCCCTCTCCTCTTTGGGTTTTTCTTCTCCTCTGTTTCATGCTTCTTCTCCTCTCGCATCGTCCTTCTCTAATGGTAAGTATGCTAAATTAAGAATGAGAGAAATTGTTGATTTGATTCTCGGTTTCACGAAGAAAGGCCTATTGTTGTCCTCTCTGCTATGGGCAAAACTACTAACAAGCTTTCTCGGTAAAAGAAACTAACAAATAATGCAATAATCTATTATTCCTTTCATTTGTTTCTTCTTTTTTCCTTAGTGTTGATTGTAAAAAGGTTGGCTTGTAGTGTGTTTATGCGGGAGAGAAAGTCTGTGAGTTGCGTTGTTTTTAATGCATCGGAAATTAAGGAGCTGATTTTTATAAAATAACTCGTATTTTAGGTTTGTTTATTAGCTTTTCCTATCTCTTTTGTGTCATCCCCCCTCCCCCTTTTATGCTAATTAAATTTTACGTGGTTTTGGTTTATTCAATCGGGATCTGTAAAGGAACTTGAAGTTGATAGTTATGTTATTTATGGTGAGAGACTTTTTTTCATTTTTTAACTTACGAGCTAAGACTTTGTTAGGTTAACCAAATTACTTTTCCGGCTTTATTAGTTATTTAATTTTGTATAGTTTTTTTGAGAATGAATTTATAACATTTCGTTCGCTCTCGATTCCATGACCTACTTGTTAATTATGAAGACCTCCTATATAATTTGACATAAATTAGCGAGCAGTAACATGAATGGTTTTTAGAGAAAACAAATAATCCACTGAAATTTCTAATCTTGTGCAAGGAAATGGGAGTTAATTGTTTATTAACACGGTGTATCTTGGTTGTGCTTTTTTTGATAGTTCACGTAGAAGAAGCTGGAGCAACTTCTTAAGGGCATAGTTATGATGAAAGAATTGACTCCACGAACAACAGTACTATCTAGTTTCATTTGGAGAGTGTATGTCTACAAGAATCTTTGTAGCTTATTTCAATAAAATTAGTGTTAGAGCACACCAAGTATGTAAATTTCTACACTAGCCATTTTATTTCCTTGTTTAATTTTAAATAGATGTCAATTTTAGTTGACCTTTTCTTTTTGGTTCTACTTATTTGTCCGGGTAGTGTTTTTGAGTGCAGGGCAAAGATAGATTTTCGCGATTGCCTTAAAGCAAAAATAACCTATTAGAAAAAGTGGTAGCATAATATATGTTGAATGATGGATGATGATGACATAAAGAAACAATCGAGATTAAGAAGATGCTATTTTTAATGAAAAAAAATTTCTCTCGCTTTTAATTCATCACACGACTCGTATTTAACTCTCGTTTTTCTCACTGAAGTTATATATATATATCAACTTCTTTTTTCTTTTTGCGGTATGATGCATTTGATATTAGCTTCATTACAACGGATGACTTCACAAATGCAAATATCTTGGAAGCAACTTATACTGCTATTGCCGGGATAGTACATGCCAACTGGATTGATGATCCTACAATTCCTATTGCAACCGGCTTCCTTGGGAAGGTGGTTTTTTTGGCTAGCTACCGTATTCGGATATAAAACCCCGGATTCCATAAATTAAAATTCCACTTGAATCGATTCTTTTAGTGAGGCTTCATGAATATTATATCCTTCTCTCGATGATAAGGCTGGAAAAGCTGGTGCGATTACTACCTTGGGTAGGGGTGGCGATGATTTGACAGACAACTACCATTGGTAAAGTATTAGGCTTAAAAGAGATCTAGGTCATATTAGATTGTTCCTCCAAGAACTTATCCGCACATATCATGTTTACTTGCGTATGCTAAAAGTTATATCGATTGCATATTGGGAACCGTAGCATCCTTATAAACCTATTAGAATTCCAACTGTAACGGTGGAATTCCAATGGGTGTGCATATTAGGAACCGTAGCATCCTTATAAACCTATTAGAATTCCAACCGTAACAGGTGGAATTCCAATGGGTGTGGAAGGATGGTGATGGTGTCTTGACTCGTGATCCTACTATTTATCCACATACGGAGCTTGTGCCTTACTTGACATTTAAAGACGCTCGTCGAGCTTGCTTACTTTGGTGCTCATGTTAGATTTCTCGCTACTTTATTCTATTTCAATTTTCGAACTTCAAATATGGAATGGAGTATTTGTCGAACCACATCTTATAGGATGTTTACTTCTTTAGCATGGCTATGTGGCGAAACCGGGATGCTGAGTTCCTTTGGACTTCTTGTTTGAAGGGTTTTTTTATCATATCTTGCTTTCACTTAGTTGTTAAGGCTATAGAGAAAGTAATAATAAAAAAAATATCTATTTAAAACAATGAAGAGTTACTTGAAGAAGAATTAAGATATGATAGGTCAATGGAAAAACGTGTTTGACTTGTAGCCATAAGGGTATTTATTCAAGTTTTGAGGGCTGCCACTTCATGCAAAAATATGAAAAGGAAGGTGTGTTTCCAAATTCTCCCCTGTGATCCAAATTTAGAGGGATCATAAGCTGGTCGATAACATTTAGAAATTAAGGATATGTTGTTCCTTTTCGGACATTTTGTTGTTCCACACACATAGGTATTTAGTGTCGGTTCATGGATTATACAAGTACTTGCTCGGTTCCCGAAACTTGTTGTGATGAATGTGCATAGGATATCTTGCTTCTTAGGGCCAACTGGATCTAACCACACCTTTCATGAAGTGAGATATACACAATCTTTATTAAAAATTGAAATACAACATTAGTGAAGAAGAATGTTTGATTGAATTAGGAACTTTAAAATGTTCGAAGACTCGTTTTTATGTCTTTCCTGTAAGGATATGTGTCAATTTACAACTCATTGGTAGGTTCTACATCCACAATCCATGAGACCGGCTAGAGAGGGAGATATTCCAATTAGGGTTAAGAATTCCTATAATCCTAAGGCTCTAGGTACCCTCATTAACAAAGTAAGAGATAAGAGTAAGGTCCGTATCAATCGACAGTTGAATATTGAAAATAAGTAGTGTAGGAACCTCTTCGAAATGTCAAAATTTTCACTCGAAGTTTGTCACGACCTTTTCTTGTATCTATTATAGGCGGTATTGACTAGCATAGTTTTGAAACGGAATGTCACCATATATTTCAAACAAGTGTTTAATCTTTTAGTTTTTTATTTTTTATTTTTTATTTTTTACTAGTGAATGTTTGATGATTTTTTATGTATTTGAAATTTGATAATTACAAATTTAAGAATATTGTGTAAACTATATAATTTTTGTTTTATTTGCATTCAACAAGATTAACTTTTTTTTCATTTATTTTTTTTTTGACAAAATAAACAAAAATTGAATTCGAAGGATGAATTATAAAATTCATATAAATTTGGAACAAAATTCATTTATTCCGCATGAATTATAAAATATGGAATGTAGAGGCGGTTATAATCGCCTTTACAAATTATGAATTTTATAGTTTGAGGCGGTTTAAAATCGCCCTTATAATTGCAAACATTCGAAACATAAAGGTTGTTCTAAACCAGCCCAAAAATTACACACCAAAAAGCTGTGACGATAATATTGGTACCGTAGAGGCGGTTTGAACTGCCTTAAAAAAAAATTTAAGGCGGTTTGAACCACCCCAAGCAATCGTATCAAAAATCCCGGACGGTTGTCAAAACTACCGCTACATCGTAGAGACAAGTGGCACCGCAAGCGGTCTTAGAGCGATCCTTAAAACTACCTCTACAATCTGTAGGGCGGTTATAACCGCCTCTATAAACCAAAAAAACCACCTGCAATGCCCTTTTTGGGTGCAGTGATAATATCTATAGAATTCTTTTTTTTTTATTATTTTTTTAGAGTTTTTTTTCCTATTTAAACTGTTGTATTAGCCTTTTTGTGAAAAAAAAAAAAAAAGAGAGACATAAAATTAACAACATTTGAGAGTTTTGGTAGTTTTTCTTAAGTTTTTAAAAATTAATAGATTTTAGTTCTTATTTTTTATTATTTAGCATGGAAAATTCCGTTGTTATTTTTTGATTTTCTTGTAATAGAAATTGAGAGGAAAGCTATAATAAATCAAATGTAAAAAAAACTCGACTCTTCAAATTAGTAGGAGGATTGGTTTAGTCGAGTCAAGTAAGTATAGGAATCAGGTCAGCAATTAACCCTTTCAAAAGGCTAACGGGAATTATCATTGATTTTAATCTCTCTCTTACTCTGTATTTTCCTTTAGATACGATTTTTTGAAATTCCATAATTAAGTCCACTGCAAATTCTTAGTGACAAAATATTAATGAATACGGGCTGTATAATATTTCAGGCTCCAGCCTTGGCAATTAGGTTCCCATAACTAAAGCAATACAGCCCCGTTCAAGGTCTCCAGTGAAGCGAGCCTTAAGGTACTTAACCCACAAAAAGTTATTGGGTTTTAATATTTATCAAACGAGCCCCGTTTTTTTTTTTATTTGAAAATTTGGACTTAAGAAAAAAAACTTTTTCTTCATAAGACTAAGGCAATTTAAGGTCATTCAAAATTTTCATTAATTTCAAATAGTTTAGTTTGTTGTCGAAATTATAATTTTAAATCGCACATGCAATTGTGAAAATGATCACAATGACGATCATGAATCCTAACTTATACTAATAATAACATAATATTTATAATAATCGGTATCGTGAATGCATTAGCAATTATTAATAAATCTATTCTAATTCACATATTTTAACGAGTTTTACTAATTAAACATAATAATAAACTATTTAATAATTTAATATCATACAATAATATTTAAAATTATTAAAAAAAATTTACTAACACTTTTAATTGTATAGTATTATACAAACAATAATAAAATACCTTGCAATTTCAATATACATACTAAAAAAATATTCATCCTTAAAATGATCATCATAAAAAGTTATAATAATAGTTATCATCTTGTTATTGTTGCTTGTGATATTTGTCCATCAAAGTTTGACTATAATTATATTGCCCTACAAAACCTAATTGTCCAAATAATGAGGCACCCATGAATCATCAAAACTACATTTTTTAACCATAATATAATGTGAGTTATTCACTAAATAACGACAATAACAATCGTTTTTGTTATGTAACACTATTATTGTTGTTATTTAGGTCAAAAACCATTATACTCTCTATAATATTGTACAATATTGTATAATTGAACCGAATATGCCCAAATTCATTAAGTAATGCAAGGGTCTTTATTTGAAACTATGATCCAATTTAACTAACGAAAAAACTAATATGTTTTGAGAGACTAATTAATTAGTCCCTCTCGTTTTAAAAACTAATCATTTAGTCTATGAAACTTATCCCTATAGTATGAGATATTATTTATTAGTACTTATGGTTTGTATCTATTAATAATAATGCCTTTTTTTTTAAGTTCATCTTTTCAAATCTTTTACACATCAATATCAAAGAAATAAATAAAACTTAATATTAATCTAATTTCGACATCCCTACTGCACGCTAATCACAAATTTAAAATGATAAGCCCACAAAAAATTCATCCTTTCATTCTCTCTCCTTACTTTTCCCCTTCAGACTATCATAAAACCTTGTCATAACACACAATCATCACCACTAAACTCTACCAAGCACAAATGTTAATAACACCACCTCTTTTTCATAAAATTAAATCAACCACTTAACTGGATAGAGCTAAAAGATGAGATGAAAGTTTTAAAATTTTGAGGGATTGAGTATTTTGCGTTGGAAGAGGGAGTGGCATTTTTTTGGAGATAAATAATAATAATAATAATAATAAAATCAAATCTGTTAGGTAAACGAAAATCAATTATGGTCAAAAAAATATTAAAACTTTCGCATATTAAAGGAACTTATTAATTTATTTCTGTAAACCACAAAGAACAATTCATAAATAACTCAACAATACAATTTGAATAAGTTTTTTATTTTTTTGTTTTCTTATAAATTATTTTGAATATATTTGATTAGAAAAATAAAATAATAATAAATTAACTTGTTACTATTTTATGGCACATTTCACTCCTCTTCCCCATCAACAGTGCCATGGTAGCAGTACCTCCTCCTTGGCGCAGCAACTCCATCTCCTTCTTGGCAACAGCTCCTTCTTTTCTACTCCTCAAATTTTGTAATTGGTAGCCCATTAAGTAATTTTTTTCATTTATTTCAATAAATTAATTTTGTGTTAATTGTTGTTGTTAATTGTTAATTTTTTATTGTTGTTTATTATTTATTGGTTAATTGTTAGTTAGTGTAATTATTGTTTTTAATTGTTAATTGTTGTTGTTGTTAATTATTTATTGGTTAATTGTTAATTAATTTAATTGTTGGTATTTAAAAAATTGAATTGTTAATTGTTGTTGTTTAATTATTTATTGGTTAATCGTTAATTAGTTTAATTTAATTTATTATTATAAGTATTTTTATTTGTTAATTTATTTATTTTTTGTTAAGATAATCATTTAAGTGTTAGTTTAATTAATTATGTGTTAAATAATTCTCATTTCGTTGGTTATTAAATTAAGTATAATTTTTGGTATTTAAGTAATTTAATTTTTTTTAAAAATTTAATAGGTGTTAATTTAATTAATTAAATTTTAAATAAGTGATTTATGTGTTAATAAAATTAATTAAATTTGTGTTAGTTTAATTATATATATTGGTGTTAATTAAAATTTCTGTTTGTTAAATTAAGTAAATGAATTAGTTGATAATTAAACTTTTAAAATAATTAATTAGGTAGTTAATTAAGAAAACTAGTTTACAATTATATTATTTAAATATTGTATAAAATATATAATTATGTTTTACTTTAATTTATTTGTTTGTTAATTAAGTTTTTTTTTAGTTGTTATTAAATTGTGTTTCAAAGAATTAATTAGATGGTTAAATAAGAAAATAACGAGTTTATAATTAAATTAACAAAATCTAATTTAAAATATAAAATTACATGTAAGTTTCATTAATTTGGTTGTTAATTTTATTTTTAATTGTTAAATTAAGTCCAATAGTTTGAAATTAATTTAGCAAATTATTGTTTAAAAGAATTAATTAGATAGTTAATTGAGTTAATTAGTTTATAATTAAATGATTAAAAAAATTTAAAAATATAAAATTATGTGTTAGTTTAATTAATTTAGTTGTTAATTTAGTTTTAAATTATTAAATTAAGTCAATTATTTTGTAATTAAAATATTAAATTATTAGTTAAAGAATTAATTAGGAAGTTAATTAAAATCTTAATT